TTTATCCCAATCCAACAATGGCCCGATCCATAATCCATTTGAATGGATCGTTTTTATCACATTGGTTAATTGGGTCAAATATGACCATAGATAGTTTTGCGTAATAGGAGTCCGGGGAAAATTTACAAAATGGCTCTCGTATAGTGAAGTAGCTAGCGGGTAATAATCATAAACTGCACATAATGAGTTATCTCCAAACTTAGAAGTTACGAATAAATCCTTTAAGTGAACTAAATTTACAGATGAAAGTTTATTCCATTCTTTGAAAGTCTGTGCAATTAATGATGGATCTGTTATTTTGGCATCATGAATTCGACGTAAAATATAGATATTACCATCAACATTTGAAAATACTTTATAAAGGGAATTTTTGTGACCATGGTAGTTGTCCTTAGGTATTTCTGACTTGTGGAAATCCAATGGTACTAAGCCAAAATAATCTTGAACAATATCAGGCAATGCACCACCGGCAGGTAATACTTGTAATGCCGCCAAATTTCTCTTGACTAAAGTTTCACGTAACTTGTTTGGAATGAATAATGATTCAGGTAGTTCTTCATTTGGTTTCAAAGATAAATTGAAATGTGGAGGAGGGTCTGGTGCATATAAGTGGTACTGAAGAAGACTATGAGGAGGAGGATATATAGTTGGGAACTTCATATTCATAGCAGGAGGGGCGCTTACAGGAGGAGTTCCTGCAAAACCTGGATTTCCCATTGGTGGTGGAATAGGATATTTGAACTGTGGTTCCATTGATTCACTATTTACCATTGGCATTGACATCATGTTCCCAGAAGAAGTTGTAGGGGTAAAGCTTTTAGAAGAATATGGGTCAAAAGAATGAGTGATTGAGTTAACAGAAGCATTAGAAGCCAATTGTGAATTTGGCATGGCATTAAGACTAGGTAATTGTGGTGGTAATTGAGGCGGCTGTGGTGTTTGAGATTTCAGCTGGAGCAATTGCTGCTGTGGTTGCGGTTGTGGGACCTCACCTGAATCAACTGGTTTCACGCCCATTGGAGTGAAACTAGCAGAAATCTTCGCATTAAACTTGGGAACAGTTCCAACAGGTTGGACAATCCCCTGTGTAACATTCGAAGCCGAGCTCGAAGGAGCAGTTGGTGTACTAGAAGCAGAATTCAAATTAGCATTCCCAACAACCGAGACGCCACTTTTCACCGGTTCCTCATCATCACCACAGCTGGAGTCGCCATTTTCATGCTTGAAAGGACACCCTTCCTTCTCTTTCTTACAATACCCATAAATTATAACATTTCGACAAGGTATATCCTTGGCCCATTCAGTATTTGTCTTGTCCATAACTAACGCCAAAACTATCAAATATAACCCAAATTTCACCAAATAAAGACTAAACTGATTCGCAACAAGAAATTAAACAATCTCCCACCACTGTTTCAACCTTTCTCGTCTCTCCTCTTACTATAGCTCGCAAACTTTATGTTAAAACTGTCAATATGTTATTTTATTTGCAATTTGGTTTTCTCAAATAGATATCGCTTGCTTTAAAAGAGATGGGATATTGAAATATTTCAAGGAAATGGATGAAACTTTTCAAAGGATAGGAAGGTTTTAAGGATCAAGACATCAGAAAGATAGTATTCTATTGTGTGGATTGTGTTTTTCTGGTTAGATTATAGTAGGATCTTATTTTGTTGTGAGTATTTACGATGTCTGGAAGGGTTATTTTGGTTACCGGGGTTTCTCGAGGTATTGGAAGGGCTATTGTTGATGTTTTAATGAAGGATTCAGATGCTGTAGTGTATGGTATATCTCAATCTGAGGGTGCTCTGGTTAAAATGAAGTCTCAGTTTGGTTCTAGATTTGACTATGTAGTTGGAGATGTCAGCAAGGAGGAGAACATCAAGCAATTGGTTGACCGTGCAATTGGAAAACATGGACGCTTAGATTCAGTAATTGCCAATGCAGGTGTTTTGGCACCTGTTCAAGATGTCAACCATATTGCAGTTGATGAGTGGAAGAGACTGTTTGACGTAAATTTTTTCAGTATTGTCTCCTTGGTCAAATTGACCATCGACTATATTTCGAAGACTAATGGTAATTATATTTTTGTAAGTTCCGGTGCTAGTGTCAAGTCTTATTATGCTTGGGGTGCATATGGTGCCTCTAAAGCTGCTTTGAACCACTTCACAATGACCATTGCCTCTGAGGAAGAAAAAGTTAAGGCAATTGCTGTGGCTCCTGGTGTAGTCGACACTCAAATGCAAGTTGACATCAGGGAGAAGTTTGGCCCTGAATCTATGACCCCAGAGGCTTTGAAGCGTTTTACTGATTTGAAGGAAAACGATCAATTAGTTCCAAGTATTGTTCCAGCGACTATTTACGCCAACTTGGCTTTGAAAGGTATTCCCCAAGAATTGAATGGACAATATTTAAGATATAACGATGAAAAATTGAAGGAATTCTTATAGGACAATTCAAGTACTTCGAGCAATTAAATGATTACAAAGTCATCTGTCTTCATACATGTAGTTCCATTGTTCTTTTTTTGTATTCATGTTTATGTAATGTCTATATATTCTACACTTCAGAAACGCATTGTTGGCTTTCTGTAAATAATTAAATAATTAAATAATCAACTGATAAACCATATCAATGTATGTGTATCCTCCTAATTTTCATGAGAAATCAGTTTGATTGTTAGATTTATTTACTTCCCATTTTAACATTTTCTCTTGTAAAGTACTTTTGGCTCCCTTGAAATCACAAACTTTCATAACAAAATGTAAATCAACAAATCAAGTAAAAATTAAATGGATCACTTATACTTAAAATACTTTCCTCCTTATAAACACTGTATCTACTGAAGTATCCACCTCCATCGAGCTTTATATCATCAAACGATTGACTTATAGTAAGGAATTATGTAATTATATACTTAAAGTTCAAAAAAACATTCATCTATCCATTAAGTTGAATTGCAAATTACTCATTACTTTCTATCGATCTTTGCCTTGATAGCATCTTCGACATGTCCATAGACTACATCAACAGGTTCGTCACAGCTGACTTTAACAACTTTATCCATTTTATCAAAGTAGTCAACTACTGGCATACTGGTGTCGACAAAAGTTCTGAATCTTTTTCTGATAGATTCAATGTTATCATCAGATCTACCACTGGTTTTCCCACGTTCTAACAACCTTCTCAACATGACATCTTCAGGACATTCGAAGAAAAGAACAAATTTACTTGGAACAATTTCTTCTTCGAATATAACTGCTTGATCCATCTTTCTTGGGAACCCATCAACCAAAAACTTTGATCTACCTTCCTTGACATTCTCAGACATGGCATTTTTCAACAGAGCAATTGTAATCTCCTGTGGGACAATCAAACCATCTTTGATATATTTCTTGATCAATTCACCATATTGAGAGCCTTCACGGTTCTGTTCTGCACGTAGCAAATCACCAGCAGAAAGATGAACAAATTGATGATTCTTGACTAACTTATCACATTGAGTACCTTTACCAGCACCTGGACCACCTAAGACAAATACCACTGAAACTTCATCTGCTGAAAAGAATGCCTTAGATCCAGCAGACTTCTTAACCTTCGGTTCTTCCAAAAACTCCTTAGGAGAACTTCTTTGATACAAAACAGATGCACCAGTAGTACCTAAAGCCAATAAACCCAAAACTAATAGAGTTTTACCCTTGTTGCCTCCATTTTTAGACCCTTGATTTATTGATGAATAGAAACGATTACAACCGTTTCTTGCAAAATTACCACCTGCTGGCCAAACAAACCCAGATCTTCTCACTGAGTTGAATCCATTATTACCAATCCTCTTAGAAACTGCTCTAAACATCCTGATCAGACCTCAAATCCTCCTTGTAGACATCTGATTACATCTCTTTTGGATCTTGATCTACTTTATAGTTAGTGATATCAAAACTTTTTAAAATCGTTAGAACTACTAGGCTTGAAAAAAGTTGCGGATATATAAGACAGTTAGGGTTAACGATAAGAATGGATAGAAAGAGGACATGAGCCAGGACTAGAAGGCTATTTGAGGTCGGAAACAGAGGTACTGGTATCATATTTGGTATGGATGAAGTTGAGCTGATCGATTTCCTGCTGGATAGGGAAAACCATGAGGCTGAGAAGGATTTATTCAGTTGGACAAGTAAAGAAGCTGAAATATTGCAGACCACTGAAGTTTTGATTCGTGGAAAAGGGGATAAAGCACCTAAGGTTGTTAATATTGGTGCCAGTTCTGATTTCGATGATCTGTTTGACGATTTGGACGAATTAATTTTGGATGTGAAGAAGGAAGATACTAGCAGTGGGAAGAAAAAGAGCAACAAGAAGAAGAAGATGAAAGAGAAGGTAAAGAATGATAAAGATGAGAATGAGGATGATCTTGTATCGAAACATGATCATGAGGAAGAGGTTACAGTTCCTGTGGCTAAAATAGAGAAGAAGAAGAAGAAGAAAAACATGAAGAACAATTCAAAGGGATCCGATTTGAGCAATGACCAAGAGACTATGGAAGTGATCGATGTTAGTGAAAAGACCTTATCTGAGAGCTTATCAACTTATATACTGGAAGATGATGCTGACACTACAGTTTCCACTTCCAAAGAAATAGAAGAGGAAAAGGGAAAGAAGAAGAAGAAGAAGAAAAATAAGAAGGAAAAGAACGTCACTCAAACTGATGATTCCATAAACAACATTGACTCAAAGAAAAAAAGATCCGAAGAGCCATCTGTTGTGGAAGATGAACGAATTATAAAGAGTAGCAAGCAAACAAGTAAAAAGATAGCCGAGGCTAAGAAGTCTCCCCCACCTAAAGAGACTGATCAAACAGCGGATGCAAAGAAATCAAAATTATCTAGAAGGAAAAATAAGGCACCTAAGGACATTGAGAATGTAACCTCTCAAGATGCGATTTCAGAACCAAAATCTTCTGATACAACTGTTGAAAATGAACCTAAGAAGTCTAAGGGACAAAGACGTAAAAAAAAGATAACCCAAGAAACTACTTCATCTGACAAACAAAAAGAAAATGTAAGTCCAATTTCAGAGAGGGAAGATAAGCTTTCGAAATCAAATGAGAAAGGTGAATTTAAATTCATGTTTAAAGTTGGTGATGAATTAGATGGATCAGAAGACGAGAAAAGGGTTAAGAGGAAACCTAAATCTAAACAATTAAATGAAAATACTAATACAAAGAAAAATGACAAGAAGAAAAGGACACGAAAAGTTAATACAAAGGATATGAATAAAAAAGGAAGTAGAGATTTAGATTCCTAAAATATTATAATGAATTCAGATATTGTACAATACTTTTTATTAATGAATGTAAATGCAATTTGCTTTAACAGATAGATAAATTTACGACTGTATTATAAAAATCAAGACCGCTATGGACATTAAAGTAAAATTATAATGAGACGAAGTTGTAACTATAAAATTATGAATTTGATTTCTGCAAGAAAAATTGATTTTTAATCTGCCCAAATTACCCGTTATTGATATACTACATATTTATTTAAAATAAATGCTATAAACTTAAAAATATAATAATTATTTCATTCCATTTCCATCATTTCACTATCTTCTTGATCTTCTGAAAAATTAATATCGGTTCTCATTTTTTTAATTAAACTTGAACTCCTCAATGTAGCTGGAAGTCTTTTTCTCGAATGTAGTAAATCGGATGTAGCAATTGATGGATCATGTAATTTAGAGTTAACAATTAATGGATGATCAGAATCTAAACTCATAGAGACATTTAGTTCTAAGGCATGGGTTAGTAATTCTTGAGCTACCGAATTAGATGGTTTTAATGATAACGATAAATGCAAATGATCAATAGCTTTTTGTAACTGCTTTGTCTTCAGATACAAAAATCCGAGTGAACAAAAAATATCAGGATCTTTCCCACAAACTTCCAGTATAGCTTTGAAACATTTGATTGCCATTTCTATCTCACCTAATCTTCTATACGTGTGCGCTAAATTCATTTGAATTGAAATAGAAGTTTTAGAGGTAGAATCCATATCTTTTGCAGCTTCTAATGCCTTTTTCAAATATCTTTTTGATTTCTGTAAATCGTTCTTTTTAAAATGCAACACACCCATTTCATTTAGAAGCAATGGGTCATTTGGATATATATCATAAGCCAACGTAAAATATTCTTCAGCCAATGTCAATGTATTTAATGCCATATATTGCATACCTAAAAACAAATTTGGCAAGTGCATTCCTGGAAAAAATCTTGATGCAGTTGAGTAAGCAGATATAGCTTGGTCATGTTCACCTTCTAGAGCAAACGTATGAGAGAAACCAATCCAAGAAGGAGCAAAGTTTGGATCTAGTATTGAAGATTTTGAAAAATACTTTCTGGCCTCACTAATTTTCTGGACCGTCATATAATAGGTGGCTACACCGAACCATGTTATCGCATTTTTTGGCAAATTTTCAGCCAGTTTATGTGAAAGCTGAAACAACTTATTTTTACAATTCAATTCATACAGACAGGAAATGTAAATTGGCAATATATCACCATTAAATTCGTCGTTCTCCAGTACAAACTCACATAATTCCAGACAGTCATTAAATTTACAACTGGTATGATAAAGCTCTATGTCGCACTTAATCAAATCTATATTATCCTTCATATCGTAATCGTCCAACAATATTTTTTTAGACCTCTTAATCAATTCTGAGTTTATTGTATTTGATAGTCTTATTGTGTATAAACATTTGATCATCTCTTGGTTATCATCCAATGAAGAAAAGTCCAAAGAGTTTATTAATTCCCATTCTTCCTTTGGGGTTAGTAAATTTTTAGAGGTCAACTCTTCAAATGCTTCAAAATTTTTTATATCAACTAATAGTGCTTCCTTAAAGGAATCCTTTGCTTTTGAGAAATTATTCTGAATTAAATATATTTTACCTCGTAGGTAACAAAGTGATGATTCTAGTTTTATACCACCATCGTTATACAATTTTTTAAAATCTTGGTCACTTGCTTCAGCAAATGGGTTTGACTCCCCAATCAAATCTAGTGCATCGTCATATTTCTGTAGCTCAATCAACGACAATGCCATTAGGTAACGACATATGATACTTGTCGAATCTAAATTGTTGGATCTTAACAATTCAATAACTCTCAAATACGATCCATTGGAATAATATACTTGAGCCAACCAAAACGCATCATTGGGATCGCTAGTTAAGGAATATATCTTGTTACCAATGAACTCAGCTGTCTTGTATTTATGCTGCATCAATGCATCGTGTCGCCATAACCTTAATTTCTCTAACGATGACAATTCAGTAATATCCAGCTCGTTTGAAGCCGTCGTTATAGAATGGCTAGAATGCTCGATATTCGAATCCAACAGTAAATTGGACTCCATGTCATCCTTGGAATCTCGTTGAAGAGAAACTTTCCGAAGAGTTGATGGTATAGCAACATTGAACAGTGAGTTTTTACTACCTGCAGTATTGGTAACTGTGAGATTTGGATTTGAAACCGGATGCAATGTCTGATTCTGATTGTGATGTGGCGTAACTAACGAGGACAGAGTATTCTGAGTGGTCTTTTGAACCAATGGACTGTTGGCAACCGAATGGTATGGACTTCTTAATGGTGCTGATGTCTGAGCTTGCCTGGATCTTGCATCGTTCCTGTTCGAAACAAAGGGAGAAATAGCATTCGTGGAATTGTGCTGCGAGGGAACTTCACCGTGAGACATCCTGGTGGCTGATAGCAATCCTCTGGTGTCCTGTAACTCTTTGCGATGACCTTATTCATTTAAGTATGTTGGTTCATTTATATCATTTGTGGTAAAATCAAGGTTTCGTTAGACGTGATATGTAGAAATAATACCAACGGCGCTACCTAAAACACAAACACACACACATATGCATACACACACACACACTCACAAGGTGAAATAGCATCTCACCTATTTCTGTATAGGTTGGGCATAGAGGTACCAGTTGGAACCGACATCGAAAACCTCTTTGTCTCCCTTCCTGATTCCCTCATAACCCATGCCAATACCAGTTCCGATCAACGTATCTGACCGAACACTGCTCTCACATAACCAAACCTCTTTCCAGATTCCTCTTACAAGATATCTCCTCAACAAGCCCACCACTTCTAATATTCAAGATACTCTCACTCTCATAATGACGATACCTCGTTCCTTACACTTCTATCAAATGGCATATCCAACAGCTCATAGTCAAATAACATACCATCCAGCGTCATCACGAAACAAGTACTAGTCAACGAACCAAACCGAATGAACAAGAGGGTATACAGGATCATTACCGAAACCCATGGGAAATTACAGCTTAAAGTTCACATCGTTGAGTCACTTCAACTATCTAATCACCAACTTCCTGCACCTCATCACGATGCAATGAGTAATGGATCTGGTCAAGAAGACCAAGAGGTATAGGAACTGAAGACTACAAACCAAGATACTGCCAAATGGTCAGGATTTAACAACATTGGTTCAATCTGTAGATTCATTGATAGATTAATAGTGACGTTCATATAGTTTCTTGTCAGTTCCCGGTGGAATTTTACATGGCGATGCCTGCAATATTCCCTCGGGATGGTATTGGTCAGTATGACTAAGAGATGGGATAAGGATGGTCTGAAACTTTCCCAGATTTTAGTCATGAAGAAGGTATATAAAGGGGATGATGTGGGGGTTCAATGTTCTGGGAATTGTTGTTGTTAATGTTGTTGCTTGATGGGTTTGGATAAGAAACAAGCCAAGTTACAAGTTGATATTTGCTGACCAGGGCTTTCTTTTTTTGCATTTGGGATACAGTATAAGAAAGAGAGATCGAAGGATAATAGAAGATGACTACATTACATTTACGTGCTGAAACCAAGCCATTGGAGGCTAGAGCTGCTTTAACACCAAGCACAGTCAAATCCTTGATCAAGAAAGGTTTCAAAATCTACGTCGAAGAGTCACCGCAATCGGTTTTTAACGTTGATGAATATAGAAGATGTGGTGCTACTATAGTACCATTTGGATCCTGGATCTCTGCTCCTCGTGATAGAATCATCATTGGGTTGAAGGAGATGCCTGAAGAGGATGTATTCCCGTTAGTACATGATCATATTCAATTTGCCCATTGTTACAAGGACCAAGAAGGCTGGGAGAAAGTACTAAGGAGATTTATCAATGGTCAAGGTACTTTGTATGATCTTGAGTTTTTAGAAGATGACAATGGTAAAAGAGTAGCTGCATTTGGGTTTTATGCTGGTTTTGCTGGTGCGGCTCTAGGGTTGAAAGATTGGGCCTTCAAGAAGACTCATGATGATTCAGAAGATTTAGGTGCTCTCACACCATATCCAAATGAAAAGGCATTACTGAGAGATATTTCTCATGAATACAAGCAAGCTTTGAAGACAGGTGCCAAAGCTCCAAAAGTCTTGATTATCGGTGCATTGGGTAGATGTGGTTCAGGTGCAATTGATTTCTTGACCAAGATTGGGATACCACAGGAAAATATTATCAAGTGGGATATGCAAGAAACTGCTAAAGGTGGTCCATTCCAAGAAATAGTCGATACTGACATTTTCGTCAATTGCATCTATTTATCCAAACCAATCCCACCATTTGTTAATATGAGCATGCTAAATCAAGACAGTAGACATTTAACAACTGTTGTCGATGTTTCTGCTGATACAACTAATCCATATAACCCAATTCCAATCTACAATATAGCTACTGTTTTCAACAAACCCACTGTGACGGTTCCTACTAAAAAAGGTCCAAAACTATCAGTGATCTCAATCGATCATTTACCTTCTCTGATGCCAAGAGAGGCTTCAGAAGCCTTCGCCAAAGATCTGCTACCATCTCTAGAGTTATTACCAAATAGACATGTAGCCCCAGTATGGACAAGGGCTTATAGTCTGTTCAATAGACATTCAGCTCGTGCATACAGATCATCTAAATTGTAGACTTTTACCTGGAGTATTCTTAGTCGTCATGCCATATTTAATATGTAACTAATTATCTTTATACAATTATCTGGTTTATTTTTATTTTTATTTATCACAATACAATACAGTACAATACAAAAATGTAATTAATTATAAATGTAGTCGAGTTATTCAAGTTCAACTGAAACTTTTTGCTTTTTATTCTTGGTTTTCTTGTTCTTTTTAGCTTTCTTCTTTTCACCAAACATCACTTTCTTTAGCTCTTCAGTGTCACTTTCGTATTCACTCTGTTCTGCGTCTTCCACTTCAGAATTTCTCTTCTTCATAGTTTCATATTTTTCAACACTTTCATCACAGACAGCTAAACAATTCAATCTTTCACCACTATCATAAACGGCAATCTGTTCCTTCTTGTCCATATCCCAAACCACGATCTTACCGTCGGAACCAATGGTGACCAAGTACAAACCATGTTCGTTACGGTAGAACTTAAAGTCTTTGACACGGTTGGAATGCCCCAGCAATGCAAACTCTGATTCGTTATTGTTATCCTCATCCTTAGTGATATTTGAAGTCTTGTAGAAGTTGACGTTACCATCACTCAAACCGACAGCCAAATATTCCTCTCCAGAGACACGTTGGATCTCCATATGCATAATAGTCTTTCTTACCATGTCAATTTCGTTGACGACCTTACCAGTGGCAGTCTTGTATACCAATATTTTATTCAATAAAGCGACTACGAAGAATTCACCATTTTCACCAGCCCATCTAACGAACTGACCATTTTGAGAGTATTTCTTCAACTTCAAGATAGCAGCTTTCTTGACAGTCATCAAGTTCCACAAACGAATGGTATGGTCTTCACCTACACTTACTGCAACTTTGTTCGAAGGATGGATATCAATGCTATTAATTCTTGCGGTATGACCTTTCAAAGCACCAAAATTTTCCCAATCCTTAACTCTCCAGATAATAATCTTGTTATCATCACCAGCAGATAACAACCACTTGCTACCACTACCAGAACCTTCAACAACAGCATCAGTTTTCCCATCACCATTCCCACCTTCTGTAACCTCTCTGCTAGTGGAAAACTTCAAATCGGTGATAGACCCCTGGTGAGCCATCAAAGTACCCAACTCTTTACGTTTTTGAAGATCATAAATCCTGATATGTTCATCATTAGAACCTGAAACCAAGTATCTCTTGGAAATATCCAAACATTTTACACTTAATGAATGAGCTTGAAAGTGGAAAATTGGCGTGAATACCGGTGTCGCTAGCGACAGATCCAACGACAAACAAAGAATATTATGCTCATAAGAACCAACAATAACCCTAAACTGATTCCGATCCATCGTGATATACACCTTGATTAGCCAGCAACCTAACCAAATCAATAATTTAACCTTTAATACTAGTTATATTATATGCTTATTACTGAAAATTTTCCACTTTTAAGCTCATCGCGATGAGCTTACAGCCAAAAATGGCCTTTAGTGAAATATTTCAATAAAGGTAATATGGTAACAAAGAGAGCGACCAGAGATGTCAGAGTATCGAAATGGGATCAATGAACCTACATAATAATGATTCAATGGGTCAGATGAATTCACAATATTTGAATTTACATATTTCCCAAGGTTTTTATGAAATTGATCAAGTCGTTTCTGTTGCTATCCACTGGGAAGGTCAGTTGTCAGTGTCAAGATACCTTGGAAGTTTGCTATTCAGTCCAATGGATAGAGAGACAGTTTGCAATTGAAGGTTACTAAAATTGGTACGATTGATGTCGGTAGTATCAGTTTTGGGTGAGGTTTCCAGGGATTTTGTTTAAAAATGGCCAAAATGTTTCAATTGTCCAGGTTCAGGGCCAGGTGGCTTGTTATTTTGAGGTTCCTTCGTATTTAGTTCGGTGGGCCCTCAGTAAGACAGTGAGTGAGTGAGTGAGTTGGAATGAAACCGAAGAGGACAGCATATTCAATAGTGAAACATGGTTTACAATTTGGGAATTGATGGGGTTTAGAATTGGATAAGTTTGGATTATATTTAAGAGCAGTTAGAATTTCGAATTGCAGGGTATGTGAACAATCAATTCAGGATTGTTTTTGGATTGCTTTGGTAGCAGAGTAGAGCAGAGCAGGTCGAACTCAGTTTGCAGTGAAAAAAGTCTTTCGCAAAGATGAGTGGTTTTGATATGAATAATTATGTGGATGTGGAGCCTCTAGAGATCGAGACGGGGTTACCTGATGAAGTGTGTCCTATTATGTATACTGATGAGTACAAGCAAGTTATGTCTGTTGCTAGACGGTTGATGCAAGAGGGTGAGTACTCTGAGAGGGCTTTGCAGTTGACATCAAAGGCAATTGCTTTGGCTCCTGCTTTCTATACTGTTTGGAACTATCGTTATAGCATTGTTGAGCATTTGGCCAAGGAATCCGGGGATGTAGAAGGGTACATGAACAAAGAGATGGATTGGCTAGATGAGGTGACTCTAGGGAACCCAAAAAATTATCAAATTTGGTCTTACAGACAAGCTTTGTTGAAAATCCATCCTGCTCCAAGTGTGAAGAGGGAACTTCCAATCTTGCAGATAATGATCGATGATGATACTAAGAATTATCATGTGTGGTCCTACAGGAAGTGGTGTATTTTGTTCTTCCAGGATTTCACCAACGAATTGACATATGCAGACTCTTTGATTCAAAGGGATGTTTACAACAATAGTGCTTGGACTCACAGAATGTTTGTGATGAAACATACTAATCCATCTAAACATGAAGTCAGAGAAGAAATAGAATACACCAAGAAGAAGATAGAGATAGTTCCCCAAAATGTAAGCAGTTGGGAGTACTTGCGTGGTCTTTATGAAGTATTTTTGGATTGTGAATACGATGAGGAAACCATAAAGTTTGCTGAAAAGTTCACTGATGACATATTGAAACTAGATATCACAGTGGATAAGGAAGTAAGTGCTCTGCCAAATATAGAGTCCTCATACGCCCTAGAATTCTTAGCTGATGTGTTCGCTAAGATCCCAAGTCCTGAAAACACTAATAATGCTAAAAAAGCCTACACCGCTTTATCATTGAAGTATGATCCTATCAGATCTGCTTTATGGAACCATAAAATGGGTCAGCTAGCCTAACTCAGCCAACATTAATGCTTATTCTGTAATATTTTTTTCTAAAAGCTAGATTATTTTTATTTATGCTAAGTAAAATACGTAATCGCCAAAAATCAGTAATTTATCCTATTTTAATCCTCAAAATCTTGTTAGAATTGGAATGAACATTAAAACTAAGATGCTCTACATCACATCGAGCCGGTATGGCGTTCTGTATAACCTATACTCTCTTAGACCATCGATTCTTTTACACTGATGCTTACTATGGTGATCTCATGCTCCAGCGATTGTTATAAAAAGTGAAAAATTTCATACCTCATCACCTTGATCTCATCTCATCTCTAAAGTTGAATGCATATAAAGAGGGTATAAGAGACCATGGCAAGCAACGAACCAGACTTAACTAGGATTCTAGGTGGTATATATGTTGGTAGTATCGATCCTATTGTAAAACACACACCTTTACATGCAGAATACAACATTACCCATATTTTATCAGTGATCAAGTTCCAAGTAATCCCAGAGTATTTGATTAGAAAAAACTATACATTGAAGAACATTCCTATCGATGATGATGATTATACTGATATATTACAATATTTCAATGAAACTAATACTTTTATAGACAACTGTTTGTTTCCAGATGAACCTGAATATTCACCTGAACTAGTTGATTTCAAAAAGAAGCCTCAGAAAGGTGCTTTATATATTCATTGTCAAGCTGGTATGTCTAGATCTGTTGCTTTCACTGTTGCATACTTGATGTACAGATACGGTTTTGATTTGAAGACTTCATTGCATGCTGTTAAGAGAAAGAGAGCCAGTGCTCAACCTAACGATAATTTCATAGAACAATTGAAACTATTTGAAGAAATGGGTGGTAGGTATGTCTCTTTAGACCATCCAATTTACAAACAATGGAAGCTAACTAATTCTGTAAAACTAGATCCTACTGGTAATGATATATTGGCTGATGACAACATGTTCAGAGAAGATGAAGAAAAAGATTTAGATAAGATGTCTCCAGAAGATATGGAATCTGTCACCGTAGCGAGATGCAAAATGTGCAGAAAACATTTAGCTATGTCAACTTCTTTTATCAAACATGAGCCTCCAAGTAAGGAGTCCTCTGAGGGTCATTTTATCAGAAGAGCGGCTGGTTCAAGAAGAATTATTGGCATACAGGATTCCCAAGCCATTTGTTCACATTATTTTGTTGAACCTTTGAACTGGATGAAAGAAGAATTACAAGGTAAACAAGAATTAGAAGGTAAATTTTTATGTCCTGGTTGTAGCAGCAAGGTCGGTGGTTACAACTGGAAGGGTTCCAGATGTAGTTGTGGTAAGTGGGTCATCCCAGCTATCCATTTACAATCCAACAAAGTGGATAATGTATCTCTAACAAGAAAAACCTTACCAAATATGATAAAATTTGAAGGTAAAAACTAGGAATATTTTTAGTATTCTTTTTATAGACTTAATCCCCCTCGTCAAAATGCAATATATGTAAATTAAAATAATTAGGTATCTGTATAATATTTAGAAATCTTAAATTTTATTTTGAAATGTTGGTTTCAATCTACTCAGTGAACTGGTAATTAATCGAACGATCAAACTGCTCTATGCTCATATTATTTCCGTTATTGTTTAAACTGCTTATCCGTTGACCATCAGCACTTTGAACAGTATCTGATATTGTAATAGAAGGCACTTCTGTGAAATCATGATCATCATTAGTGTCCACATCGCCATTAGTGTACTCATACTCATCTTCAGATTCATAAGGATGATTCCTAATATAAGATGTCTCCACAAATTGCTGTATGGAGAGTCCCCTTGTAGCGTTATTGCGGCTTACAGTATTCTGATTTAATTGAATGTTTGGATCGCTTCTAGAGCTTGGCGTTTCTTCCTGCACTTGATTGCTATCTTCAGATGTTGCTCTAGCTATAGCTGAAGATATACGATGTCCATGATGTTCCCCGTCATTTGTTTCATAATCACCTTCATCATCTTCAACTCTTGCATATTCTGCATCGTAATCGTAGGATATCTCGTCTTCTTCAGACAGCTCATCATTAGCCATAATGTTTAAGTCCTGAAAACTGTTACCACCACCAAATTCGTCAACATTCTCCTCTTGAAGGTGTGGACGTGCAGGTGTATTATGAACTGAGACGGCTCTAGCGTTATTTATATCGTCAAACGCATCCACCTCTTGCATTCGCTGTTTTCGTTCTTCCTCCAACTGACACATAGTCTTGTTCAAACCCATAACTTTGATATAATTCCACCCTAGATACCGTATAGCATTCTTATTTCTCTTGAGTTGTTCCTCTCTCATATACAAAACATCGAACTTCCCATTCCGATGACCTCTACAACTTCTTGAATAAAATGGCGTCTCTTCAAAAACACTATAAGCAGCCAAAGGCAAAGCCCCACCACACAAATCTCGACTTTTGCACACTCTAGAGCCACTCTTCCTACCGCCACGTTCTGTTTTCATCCCATTAATTAACCCATTTCGATTGTTCTTATCCTGTTCCTTAGCTAGCTCATCCTTTATATCACGAAAGATAGATAGCTCCCCCAACGAGTTCCAATCCAACCTATTACTTATGTACTGACCAGTCATACCTGCAACGATCCTTCACAGACTACCAATGCCTCCCAACTAGTAGATCAAACCTCTTATTCCTCAAATGGTAACTGTTATAGATCAAGGTTCTTTTATCCAAACCGGTCCATATTTAAGAAGATGCTTAGACGAACTATCACGTGTATTCAGATACATAGTAGTTTATATAGAAAGAATATATTAGATTACGTAGCCACACACCGTTGGTTAGCAGTATTAATACAGAGAGGTCCAGCTGTATTCATATTTACCGCTCCTTCCTTTCCCAAAGTACATATCAATTGATCTCTTGTATCCGAGGATGCCCTGTGAGCTCATCGTGAGGTAGCTGTTTTCTGAACCTCTTGGAACCCTTCACATACGCAACAACTTGGCCATAACACCACTCACCCCACATCAAGTACTTGCGAATGTAATTGCCCACATCATAATCCTCATAAGCAAACACCAAACCTGTATTGTGTCGTATTGCTGCTAATACCATCGCTGCCAATGTGAAATCGATGCTATAGTGAATAATGCTCTGAAACCCCATCGGAAACTTATAATAACGAAATATTCTGACTAAAACAAACCTCAGAAACCCAATCCAACCTTCTTCAAACCTCGGTTGTACCTCGTTCAACCTCTTTCATCCAACTTTAAACCACCTCTTAATAGTGTGTTTCTTATAACTCAGCTCATATCAGAATTGGTTCCGGGCATATTAAAATGGTAAATATTGAAAAATTTGTAGTACATGATATTTAACAGTTATGCATCAGAGGTTAAAAGAGGTTAAGAGGTTGTAGATTTCAGATAGGTTCTAAGGTCGAGACAAAGCTTTGAAGGTGTCGAGAAGGTTGTTTATATCTGTTTTATTTGATTCCCTTTTGAAGGTTTGTAATTTGCGGGATGTCGACTGAGATAAATAAGGAAACGTTGCTTAGCTATAAAGCAGTTAAATCATTTAGAGTTGCTGAGAAGGAGATAGCACCTGTGACGTCTATAGATTTTGATGATCATGGCCAGTATTTGTTGAGTTCTTCTGCTAGTGATACGATGCATTTGTATGATGCGGTTGGGTTTAGATTTTTGAATTCTATTGGTTCAAAGAAATACGGTTGCCATTCTGCTAAATTCACACATGCGCAGAATGAGTGTATATATTCTTCTACAATGAAAAGTTTTGATATTAGGCATTTGAATCTGGAGACGAATCAATATATAAGGTATTTCACTGGCCATGGTGCTTTGGTTAGCGACATTGAAATGTCTCCCCTAGAGGATGTTTTCCTATCGGCTTCTTACGACGAGTCTGTTAGGTTATGGGATCTAAGAGTTTCAAAAGCACAAGCTATAGTGCCTAGTATTGTTCCTAGTTGTATTGCATATGATCCAAGTGGATTGGTTTTTGCATTGGGTAATCCCGAAAATTTTGAAATTGGGTTGTATAATATTAAAAGTTTAAAAAATGGACCATTCTTAGTGATAAAAGTTAATCCAGAGTTCAACCAATGGACGAAACTAGAGTTTTCTAATAATGGTAAGTACCTCCTTCTAGCATCATCTTGCGGGAAACAACTAATCATTGACGCGTTCGATGGTTCGCAATTGTTCGAGCTTTTAGGAACAAAACCATTTCCTTTAAGAGAATTTATGGATTCAGGTTCTGCCTGTTTTACACCAGATGGTCAATACACACTGGCTACAGATTACGATGGTAGAATAGCTATTTGGAATCATGGTGAGTCTATTAGTGGGAAAGTTTTAAAACCTCAAGGTTATATATCAGCCGTACCGGATTCTAGTCCAAGGACAATTGCATTCAATCCAAAGTATTCTATGTTTGTTACTGCAGATGAAAATGTCGACTTCTATGCATTTGGAACTAATTGATTACTTTTAAATCTAAACCGCTTGTTAATTATTATCAGAATTATATTATTATTATTGTTATAAAATTTTTATGTAGTAATTTACTATCATTTCTATAGACAACTATTTATTTATAGAAGTTCACTAATATCAGGATATCTAAGGTCGCTATTTTCACTTGACCATTCTGCCCAATTTTTCAAAAACTTTACACCACTTCTCTCTAACACTTCCATATTCCCAATGACACATAATTGTTTTTTAGGTCTTGATATCGCAACATTCAGTCTTCTATCATCTCTTAAGAAACCAACCTCCATTTTATCATTGCTTCTAACAAGAGATAGAACAATCACTTCCTTTTCTCTACCTTGGAACCCATCCACAGTAGATATTTCTATCAAAGGATATTGCTCTTGTATTAGGCTTTTAAGCAATGAAGTTTGTGCACTATATGGTGATATGACACCAATTGCATCCTGGGGCACATTGCTCTCAATCAATTTAATGATATGATCCTTCACAAGTAGTACCTCGTTTTCATTAAATTTTGAGGAAACGATGCCGTCTTCATTATCTGCTTGTTCTAAGAAGTCATCACCCTGAGTGTCATACCATATAAGTGGTGGTAATGTGTCATCATTTGAATCGACTCCCGGTAGGTCTGATAACACATTATTTGCTACCGATGCATCGGCAATAAGTTTACCACCATACATTTGTTTCGATGGGAATTCCATGATCTGCTCATTCATACGATATTGGACATTCAATAATAGTTTAAATTGGTCACCATAATTCTTGACAAGTCTATCAAATAATGTAGTTCCAAGAGTAACTTTGACCTTATCATTATCTTCAGTTTTAATCGTTGGTGGTAATTGTTTATTGTCACCAGCCAGAACAAGCTTTGTAAAGTCTGATTTATAATGAGATATTAATGGTATCCAACATTGAGGTTCTAAACTCTGGGATACCTCATCAATAATTAAAGTGTCAAATAGTTTTGGGACTTGGTTATATATACCACATAACTCTCTAGAGCTAGAGCCGTGTAATGTTGCAACTACAACTTTGGCTTCAAGTATTAGATCATTGACAACTTTACGTTCTCGTTGTCTGAGTTCCTTACGAAGCTCTTTTACTTCCTTCCAACCTTCTCGACGAGCATCTGGTTTTCTTACTTTCTTAATACTAGCTATGGTCTTATCAATATCACGATAGATATCTCTTACAATAGCACCAGAGTCACCACTTTTAGACAATATGTCCAATGAATGGGATAAGTTAGCCTCCAATAGACGAGCAGGATGTCCAATACGTAATAAAAGATTACCAGGAAGCACCTTTGCCAGCCTTTCTAAAATAGTATCCACAGATATATTGGATGGCCCACAGACCAGAACACGCTGACCTTTCTCGACCAATTGCAATATTAGTTCAACCAATGTATAAGTCTTACCAGTACCAGGAGGACCATGTATTATACTAATATCATTTGCCAATGCAAATTTGATTGCATCCTTCTGGGACTCATTTAATTGATCGTTATGGAAAGTGATTTTATTTGAAGGCTCCTGTCTGATAAACTGCCTAGCATTCAGCAGATACTCTATTATCCTATTATCTGGGAGTCCTTCAAATTCCTTTAATTTCCTCATTGTTGATTCCATCCTTTTATATGTTATTGTGTTAACGGTTTTCAGTAGATACAACTTGCTGTAAGAATAAAGTTTCATGGCATCTTGCTCTTGAGCTTCATCAATGGTTATGGAGCATTGCTTGTCAGTGATCTTAAAGACAACACCTGTAATCTCCAAATCATCTGCACCTCTATCAGAATCACCATTTTCCTCAGCTTTACTGGACTTGGTCTTGGCCTTGGACTTCCCCTTACTGGTTGCTGATGGTTTCACTGCTACAACATCACCAACCTTTATACTTCCCTTGGATATCTCATCATCCACAGCCTGATAGGGCCCTAATTCTAGATATATCTTGCCAGCTAGACCTGTTCTGATGTTCTCTAAATACAGGTTATTGATTGCTTGACCAGCTTTCACTAATTTTGGTAATGGCAACAGCTTCAGCAATTGAGAGGTAGCTTCAATGTCTTGATCTCTCTCATGGGCAATGCTTGAGAGGAATTTATCAGCCAATTCGATGTTCATGATTAGTGTGAGTGTATGGTGATTCGTTTCTGAACATTAACATCTGCTGTTCGTGCAAGTTATTTAAAATTGATTACTTTTAAGTATTTAAAAAGATAGTAATAAATTCTCAAAATTATAATAATTAAAAAGTATGTCTAGAATAAACGCTATATTATTATATACATTGCAATCGATGATAATATGTTTTGGGAAAGTTAGTTGTTTGAATATTTAAATCTGCATTATGATAGAGTATTCTAGAAAATATTTTCTAATTGATTAAATAGAAAATTGTTTCATGAATGTATAAGAATCCTTTTTTCTTGTCTTGTTAAAATGAATATAAAATTGGATAGAGGCTCTGAGAAACGATAAGTTCTCTTACATAACGTTCAAATCGCCAAACTTTTCTTTGTAACCAGGAACTTCCCATTTACCCTTCTTAACCATTTCATTGACCTTAGCATCAATGTCTGGTCTTGAGGCAGCAACCTCATCGACGGTCAATTCATCGAATGGTCTAGCTGACTCAATGTTCTTCAAAGTAGCTTGCAAATCAGCCAACTCTCTAGCAACTAATTGCTCAGTCTCCTTAGCGTTAGCAATAGCTTCAGTTTCAAAAGCTTGAATTGTTGATAATTGCTTGGAAGCATCGATGGTAACTGGCTTGTAAGACTTGTAAAATGTCTCAATCTTATCCACTATAGCTGTGTTCTTCAAAGTACCACGGTAATGTTCGAAATCAACAACTGTGGATTGGGATTCTAATTCAAATAACTTTCTTCTAGCTTCATCATTTCTCTTCTTAAATGAAGATAATTGAGTTGCGGTCTTACCAGTCAATTTCAAACTAGAAATAACTTTGGCCCAGTCTAATTTACCTGATGCTGCTTTAGCTAATGACATTGTTCCTATTCTAATCGTCGTTGTCCCTCTTCTTCTTCAATCAAGATCCTTTTATTCTTGAATCTTATGGTGCTCTTATAGTAACTATTATTTCCAAATGGCTTGGGGGGAAATCTGATTTTTTACAGGCTGAAAAATCAGCTGACCAATGAGAGCGCTCCAAGATAGTTGAAAAGGAGGGTAACTGTATATTTTCAGATATATAAGGATGAACTGGTAAGGTTTTGATCACCTATAAGATGGTTGATACTAGCCATTGGTTTCAAGATCGACGGATCAAGTCTACATATAGTGTACAATTGGATATCTCTACTTTTCTTGGTTTGAAATGAGTGTACAATCATGCTTTTTGCCAATTTTGAACTAACAATTGACGAAATGTCAACATGGAATACCAGAACTGTATGTCGAATATGGTTTAAAATAATAATTATATCAATGCTTTGTTAAATATATAGATTTCTATCTATCTTTTTTTATGTACTAAATTTTGTTTGAACATGTCTATAAATTTTGGGTACGTAGTCTTTTGGCGATATTGGTGTCATCATCTGCAGTCCAATCTGCCAGTCTCTTTTGAGATCCGACGATTTCAATGAACCCTTCTAACAATTCCTTGTTATTCAGTTCTTGTTCTTGTAGCTGAAGCAGAGACCTCAAGTTATTACGATTCTTTTCGTTCTTCTCAAGAACTTTTTTGGCTTCGCCAACCTTTTCAGAGAGGTCAAGTCCATTGATTTCCAATTTGGATAATGCACCATATCTTGTTAACAATGTAGAACCACCACTGTCAATTCTTTGAACTTTGTATATTATCGAGTTGATCAACGAACGTAGTCTTCCGTTAGAGTATGGAGAAGAAGAGATGTTGAAGATCCACTCAAAAATGCCTTTGGATTTCAACAGGTGAATATCTCTTTCAATTTTGATACCTTGATCTAATGTTTCTAAAATCCAAGTAAACTGTTTGTAGTAATTGTCGTAAACAACACTGTCTGATTGTGGTTGTATGATTTCTCTTAGCAATGGGATTTCATTCGAACGAATTATATGTCCATTTAGTGCCCAACGGTATGCCCTTTCGTAAAGCAGAGAGGTTGGCTGAGACAAAATATCACAAATACGCGAAATGGCAAACCAAACCACTGGTGGAGGAGTATGGAAGTTTTCTGAATCATTTTGTTTGCTTGCCATCAGTGTAAATACAATTCTCTTTAGGAGAACTTTAAACGCCAATGATTCTTTGAATTGTGCGTTATCTTCCAAACTGTGCATCATTTCAGTAATCAAATTTAATGCAATATTACCAACAATACCTTCTTCAGATAGTGAGCAAATACATAATTGAAATAATAGTGAGGAAAGCATTCTCTTGACTTGGAATTTATAACTAATATTATCATCTACTTTGACTTGTTGAACCAATTCCCCATTATGCGGAATTAGAAGTAAAATGAACAATGGATCGTAAATGGAGGCACAGTTTCCAAATCTTTTTGAGGACTCATATGTATTTTTGAAGTTTTTCCATAAATTAGAAGTGGAACTACCAATAACTTCAGGAATATTTGGCTTTTCCAAAACATAATTCTCGATAGTTTTTCTTAGCATATCTTTCCTCAACGTAACGACAAAACCCTCTCTCTTTTTAGTAATCAGCTTAACTTCACCGATCATCTCAATAGATCCAGTATCATATTCTTCCAGATAATCCCAGGTATATATGTAATTGGTCCAAGAAGTGGATGTATTTGCTTCAATCTTTTCTATGATTTTTAATAAGGTTCTGTCCTTTAATGAGACAGACCCTCCATAGAATTCTAGAAGTTTTTCTTGAATGAAAGTATTACTATTAGCAGACTCGTTTGAAGAATAAAGGGTATATATCAAAGAAGCGGTTAAATATGCTTCATATGTATCATTCATTGGATTCAATAAAAGATTGTACTCATTATTCAATGCTAATTGTAAGAATTTTTGATTCTCTTTAATCTTTGCACCACCAGAAAATAAAAGTAACATGATATATTCCAAAATTACTTTGGAAGTAATCCATTTAGTACTTAACACAGCTTCTAGTTGAGTATTCAAAATACTTGTATTAATCTTTTCCCAAACTGGAATTTCTTCAACAATTGCTTTGAACTCTTCAATAGTCTCAATAAGTTTACTTGATAATTCTTCTTTTTCAGACAAATTCTTGGTAATATACAATACTAACTTATTCATCCATTTTTCAACCTCTTCATCATTGAAATTGGATCTTAGACTAATATATTTTATCACTGAAGAGCTGTATTTATGCGTAGATGAAGATATCAAATACTTCTCAATTTTAACAGAATTTTCTTCAGAAAGTTCCTCAAAGTTTTGCACAAGTAGTTTCAATGCATCTTCCTTAGGATAATCATTGTCATTACAGAAATTGCTTGAAATTTGTTGAATTAATTCGTTAGAGAAATCTTTCAATAAGGGACTTTCAGTTTTTGAGGTTGCGACCGCCATGGTTACAGATAATTTTGGCATTTTCTTGATTTGATCTAAGACTGAGATTAAAGGATCAATTTCAAAATCCTTTGATGAAACATAAGCCTTTAACAATAAAACGTTATCATCACTAGAAATGATACTCATCAGGAATTCAAGAGAGTCAAAATTGTCCACTTTTTCTAACTCGATAAACTTTGCCAATAAAGTTCTCATATTTGAAATACCCTTTTTAACTACCTCGATGAAGTTCTTAAACGGAATTCTTGAACATTCTATAGATAGTAACCTTTGCAACACGACAGCTAGAGAATCTTCTGTAAATGTGAAGTTTTCTTCTAGCAACGCCATTATAGAACTTTCGTCAATATACATGAACAAAGTACAAAATAGAACGTCACGACCTTCAATGTCATCTTCAATGTTTTTACGAACAATTTGTAGCAGGTTAAAACCGAATTCTTCCAATGACGTAGTAGCTGGAATCAGTTTTAAAACATATTTCAGGAAATATGTTGCAAAGAATATGAATTTTTCTTTTGACTGAGTATTTGATAAGTTGTCATCCACAATTGAAAATAGGAAATCTAAAAATTCGATATTCGATAAATTCAAGTCAGAGCTTGAACTACAATAATTTAGTAGCTTTTCTACCAAATTTTCAATTGTTACTTTAAAGTTATTGTCAAATTTAATTGCGTCTTCTTTAATCAATAGATTAATTCTATAGACCAATGCAAGTATATCGAAGTTACTAGTTGGCAAACGAGTAAACTTAGACATCTTTTGAAATGGAACAATCATAATAAAGTCAGCAAATGAAGATTCAATTCTTTTTGATAATAAATATTTTTCTTCATTTATTATTTTTATGGTTTCATTGTAGTTATCAAAATTTAAGTAAATTTTAGTGAAAGTTTTCATCTTTTCACTTGTATTTTCATTAAATATAGAGTTTATACCCTTTTCAGATTCACCTAAAAATATCATGTATCTTAAGAAGACACATAACCATTTCATCGTATTTTCAGTCATATCATTTTCTTGTATAAACTTCCATTGTTCCATCAATGTAATGATAAATGGCGAAATATTATCGTAATTTGCTGACTGATCAACGTATTTATATGGTGTGCGAATACATCTTGAAATCGTTTCATCCAACAGTTTCCATATAACGTTACTATTCCATAATTCGGCATCCACTGAAACCATTTGCAAACTATTTATTAATGCAGTCATTGATGATGCGAAATGCTTATTGAAAATAATTGTACCATAAAGTAAGCCATCTAACAATTTAGAGATCTTGACTGAAACTGCACTACTGAAGTTATTAGAAGATGCTAGTCTTAATAAGGAAGTGAATAAAGAATTTGAAGTTGATGAGGAATTCCACCATTTTGCTTGCATACCGTTATATTCTTGGAATTGTAAAAAACCATCTAAAATAGCTAAATCCATACCATCAAGAGTATCACTCTTCATTAGGTCGGTGTAAATATTCGTTGATGGCAGGTTAATACTAAAGAAATTTGAAAATTGTGTGCTATAATGTTTTAGAATTTCTGTAAGGGATAGTGATAGGACTCTGTTTTCTTTATTATTAGTGTAAACCTGATTTAATGCAGTTACAATAACTGAAAGCTCAGGGATAGATGAATGGAAAGCATTGGTAATACCTACTCTGCCGGATTGCCATCCTTTCACATTATATAGATCTAACACTTTTTCAAATTTCTTAAAGGAAAATATTAACATTTGACAAGCCATTTGTCTTATTAGCGGTGATTCATGTTGGAAAGCCTTTGTCAACGAACCTTTAGTTATCAACGATGGGATAATATTTTCAATTACTAATGAAACAGATGGCAGTGAATCTGTTTGAATATTTTCCATAAAACTCGGGATTTTCAAATTTATTATTCTACATAGTAATAATGTGGTACCAAACCAATAAGATGTCATTCTTGGATCATGATTACTCTGGCCTGCCAACATAGTACAATATGGTGGAATTAATTCTGGTACACTTTCCAAAATTCTTATTACTGTTGAACATTGTAAATCGTCTTCCCATGGCTTGAAGTTCTTTAATATGTTGAACAACAATTTGTTAAATATTTTGAATTTCTTTTGATACACTGTGATTTCAACACCATCTACTTTACTACCAAATGGCGACTCTGCAAACCATACAGAATTATCATGAAATGCGACAGACGTTTCGGGATTACAGGCATAAAGTATGAAAAATCTATTTGTCTTTTTAACAAGATCCTTATCCTGCGAGTAGAAAAAAGATTGTATCTTATCTAAAGCCAATTCATTCAACACTTTTGTCTTTGTCATCCTTTTGAATGATTTTTCTTCCAAGATATAACTTATGAATACATCCAATGTGCGTCCCATAATTTCTACATCATCAATCTTGTCCATGTACTTGAACCAAGCTCCCATAATCTTAAAATTATCAATTAATAAGTCTTTTCTTAATAAAGATGGACACCCAGAAATAAGAATCAACCATAAATCAATGAATGTCCTTCTCATAGAGTGGAATTTTCCTCTTGGAGCATCAGAAGTAGCTTCCAATTCAGCCTTACTTGGAGTTAAAATTTTTGGAATTACAGGTAATGAAAAATCGAAGTATGCTATAAATTCCTCTAAATGTTGATTGGAGTTGAAGGTTACCATTTCTTTCATCAAAAACAGCATAGGATTTGTCAGTGACGCTCTTAAATTATTCAAACCTCTGTACAAAACTTTTGAATAATTGGTTAAGATGGACCTAATAACTACGCTACCGTATTCACAAACGTTAGCGTCACTACTTAATAGTTGAAGTACCTTAGCTAATGTTCTAGTGCTTTGAGAAAATTTTGCATGGTTATTAACTTGGGCATAGTAAGACCAACCTTGGACAGCTTGGGACATAAAACCCTTCTGAGAAAATTCCACTAATGGTTGAAAGTTTTTAGAATCTCCATCTGCCTCCAACTGAGATACAATACTTTCTAATTTAATCAGCACACCATTATCAACATCTTGTCCTTGAGCATACTTATCTTTCTTGCTTTTAGATGAGTTCTGAAACCCATTAGATCCTTGGTTGCTCATCCTGCAATGAGGGGACTTTTTCAATGGCTTTTGGAATTGTATTGGTAGCTGAAATTTAATACAATGAAGTTATATTAATGCAATTAGATAGCTTTGACTTCTTATAGATCAACTTTTAATGAGATGAGATGCGATGAGATGCGATGAGATGAGATGAGATGCTATTACTTTTAACCATAACCTCGTGAAAATTCTTATTACCCAACGTAAAACGTGATTATAATCGATTGTATGTCATGTGATCAGATTAGTATATATAATTAAGTGAGGGTAATGTTTAATGATCTAGCTAAGCATTGACAATTACAATAGAATAATACTGTCTTCATGCAATGATCGAATACCAACACTCTCTTATTATTACCAAGTGAGAGACTCGAGTCTTCTCGATGGTTGCAACAAAAAGAAAGTTTCTCTATTCTTTCTCCATACATTATTTGTCGTGGTCTCCAGCCAGATCTAAGACTTGAACTTGAAGCCGACCAAAATGCAGCATTAGAAATGTCGATGTCGAGTATCAATTGCTATTGGTTCTATATACTTTGACTATTGATTATATATTATTACAGTTAATATTACTATTAGATTTCTTTTTTTTCTATATTGTTACAATGATGGTGTGACAAGACTAAAAGGAATATTAAAAAACCCTTTGCATGTCATGGGGTGGAATTTAAATTGATGTTTTAAGTGTCTTTCGGTTCTTTACCTTCTAGCGTACTAGCTGCATCACTTTCTTGTGATTCTTCTTTTGATTCTTCTATTTTATCTGTCGACTCTATTATCTTAGGAGATTCGGACTCAGCTTTAGGGTTCCTTTCTTGATTATTGACCTCGTTCTCATCACTGCTTACAATAGATGTATGGGGGGTGCTCTGTTTCTTTTCTATTTCATCATTTTCAGCAATCACTTTATCACTCTTCTCTGACACTTCGTCCTGGATCAAACCACTGTCTCGAGCAGGAGAAAGTGATTGCACAGCAGATCTAGATGTCTTCTCCGAGTGGTAGATTGGAATTTTAGTTACTGGTGTATCAATATCGCTACTATCACTGCTGATTACCTTGGTTCTTTGAGTTTCTATTTCAATCGCACTTCTTGTTTGACTATTATCATTAACGGTTTTGCTAATATTACTAGTTCTAGAAGATACTTTCGATAGTTCATTCGTTTTGACATCGGAAGATAACATGGCGGATGCAGAATGGGTGTTAGTGCTATTTGATATATTAATCAATTTTTGTAGAAGGTCTATTGGTATATTCTTTAACTCATTTATTTGTGAAGGGGTTAGGTTCGAGTTTTGTACAGGATTAGAATTCGAACCAGATGCATTGTAATGAGAGGTATTTGTTTGACGTTGTTGTGGTGTATTTGAGTGATGTATTCTATCAGTGAGAAGATCAGGTATTTGACTAAGTAACATATGAAGACGTGTTAATGCAAATTTTTCTTTGTCGAAAGACTTTGAATTCACTCTTAAGATCCAAATATAGTTTCTCAAATAATCTTTAAACAATTGCGCCTCTTCAACTGTGGTCGAAGATAAATGTAATATCGAGGCAAATGTGGCAACCAGCATCAAATTTCCTGTTGATGATGCATACCAGAAAGCATTAATGTGTTCTGGTTTCAAATCATGAACAAACTCAATCGCTGCAACCAATCTTGCTTTTGCTGCAGTACGGCATACAAAAGATATCTCGTCAGGCGAGTCTGTCTTTAACACTGAGATGATTTTCCTATGTAAAGTAAGTTCAGTTGCAAAATATGCCAAAATCAAAGACGCATTAGCATTGAATTTTCTTTCTTTAAAATTTGTCATTAATAAAAATGAAGGCAACGAACGATACCACTCTTTTAATTTTAATTGCAACGGTTTGGCTAGGTTTAAAACATCTTCTATATTTACTATTTGTTTTGAATGTTCGCTGTAAAAAGTACTCATAATCTCACTCAATATTATACTTAGAGATATTCTATACTTAAACATCATGGTACCTTGAACAAAATCCTCATTTGTGGGGACCATATCAAATAGATTTAAATTGTTCATCATGGTATTTCCGCTTCTTTCATTCAAGGTTAAACTCTGGTTTATAATAGGCGACGAAGCTGGAAGATCGGTATCCCTCAGTGGCCTAACCATCCAATTTCTGCCTAAGATCAAATGAGACTGCCTTCCTTCAACCAATGCTATCCATTTATCAAATGACCACACTGCCCATGAAATACGTTGACGCAAATGCTTTTCCCATTGTGGCAATTGCCATTTCTGACAGTCAACCCCTAGACCCAGTTCTTCAGCCACTGCAACTACAGAGGAACAAAGGGTCCAATTACTGGTATTTTCACTTCTTGCCTGTAGTATCAACAAACCAGCTTGTACAATCCCTAATTTTGGTCTTTCTATTAATTCATAAAAAGACTTATAAGCGATTGTATTTAACTGATTTTGAATATCTGGTTTTTGAAACCCAATTAAGCTTGGGTGGAAATCCCACCATTGTAACGCCAAGGAATAAATCGAGGCTAACAATGGTGCAGTGATTTCACTATATGATCTTGAATACTTCTCTATAAAGACTGATTCATGTAAAATTGGGAAATATGGATGGACAAATTTAAAAAAAATTTCAACTAATACCTTCCCATTTGGATAAACTAATTTTTCCACAAGGTCGACATATTGCTCTTGCTTCAATTGAGTAATTGGATTGTTGTCTTCTTTAAGTAAAAATTGGACATCATCTGAAACTTTACGCAGAATTAATGAATCCGATAATTGAACTTGATTGATTCTATCAAACTTGATACTGTTCATAAGGCTTATATCATACGATGAAGTTGGCCCCACAAAAAATGAAGAACGAGGATACCTGATAGTCTTCTTTTGTTGTTGACTGAACTCATCTGCTGGGAATTGAATCTGAGAAGCTGGGTTTGATTGTACGTAACGATGCAAATTTGAATTACTACTCCTTTGTGATGAATCTACAACGGTGCTAGAATTTTCTTGAGCTCTTGTAAATGTATTTGGATAGTTCTGTTCTGACCTAACATTATTCAAGTGACCAGGATAGGAATGAGAAATTTGTATATTCTCTGAGTTTTCAGGTAATCTCTGCTTTTTAGACAGATAAGAGTCTGTACCAAAACTTTCTCTACGCTTCTTATCGTTTAAGTTATCCACCATTCGACAATCCAAACTCTTAGTTTCACATCTTACACAGTTCTGTGATCCTGGCATCATAGTACACTTCTTCTTTGCATCTCTACAATTTAAACAGGGATCAGCCATTATAGCCAACTTTCTCATTCTATTAGAATCCTTTAAATTTGACAATTGATCGAGTATTTCACTAGTCTCCGCTGACATTCTTTCACCACCTACTCTCTGAACCAAATTTTGGTAATGGTCTAACAATTTTTCCAAACTGTGCTTATCAAAGGAAATTTCTTCACTATCAGAGATCAAGGTTTCCCCATTACTGTTGTCATTTTGAAACTTTTCTAACTTATGCAGCATATTTTTAAATCTCTCAATTTCCTTGGCATCAACAACGTTCTGACTTGCTAATCCTGCATTGCCCATATCAAATCCTACAGTTTCAGATTCTCCATGGATATATTGGCCTTTTAAAGCTTTTGAAGTACTCTGTTGTTCATTAGCGGCTTGTTCATTATGTTTGATTGCTGGGCTGCCACCCGCTAAAGCACCACTACTCGTGGCATTCCACGAAGGAGAATGACTCGAGGTAGTACTCATATCCTTCAACACTGGATAATCCCACTATTACAGACTTCTAAATCCTTTCGATGACTATTCTGGCCCCTTTGTTTTAAATCATAATTGGTTCTATAAGTGTGGTTTCTTAAAGCTTTAATTATATTGAGATAATGGGCTAAAGACCGTTATATGTATTCGTATATCGCGACAAGTCAAACCATGACTTCTTTTACAGATCACATGACCTAGTTCTTAACAATAAAAAGGTTACTTTAAGATGATTAACGATTGAATAATGATCAAAACGAAGGAATATTTGATTGATGATAGGACTTAAACAATACTATGACTTCAATTGACATATCAAGTGGGCAATCTTGTATACCCTGAAAATTTTCAGATGTTTGATTCGTAACTGTAGGAACTAGGAGATAAATTGATGTACATAATGTGATTATAGTAAACAGAATTATGTATTTAAAGTTATATAATCAAGAGGTTAAATAGAATCTTAGTTGGTCAAATCAATTGCCCAAGACAAGTAAAAACTTGTCAAAAACGAAGAATACTGCAATAGCAACACCGATTGTTTTCAAGTATTCAGCAACTTCCCATAATAATTCTGACCAGGTCATTGGTTTGAAGACTTGGTTTGTGAAGCTAACTTGAACACCACCAGAGTTACCGTTTTCATCAGCTACTTGACGATACTGAACACCAGGATCTTGTGGAGGTTGTTGTTGGTATTGAGGTGGAGCCTGTTGATATTCTTGAGGTGGAGCTTGTTCGTATTGAGGTGGAGCCTGTTGGTATTGTTGTTGTTGTTGTTGTTGTTGTTGTTGTTGCAGGGTTTCCCTTTTTTCAACAGGCTTGACAGAAGGTTGAACTGGTTCACCAACACTTGGTTCACCAACCTTTTCAGTTGAAAATTTAGAAACTGACTTCTTTTTTGGAGCCTTGGATTTCTTGGCCTTCTTGGCTTTGCTGGAGGTAGTATCCTTCTTGGCAGCAGTAGCTTGTTTCTTCTCAGCAGCAGCTTGTTTCTTCTCAGCAGAGTCTTGTTTCTTGGCAGCAGCTTGCTTCTTAGCTGGTTTGTCGCTAGCCTTAACAGCAGCAGCTTGCTTCTTGGCAACGTCTTCACTTTTAGTTACAGGAACAGCAATCGAACGTTGTTCATCAATGGACATAGAGACACTAATGACATTATTTCTAACAGGAGATAATTCCAAATCGGTGTTTGCACTCAAAAAGTCAACGAAGGCAATTTCATTTCTGGATTCTTCGATGCTCAACTCATACGCAACATATGGTGCAGACCTCCAATCGAATGCCTTATTCACAGGTGGCTCAAACAAATAAACATGAGGAACAAATGTCAACTTCAAATCCTCAACAACTTGAAAATTTTCCTCAATATCAACTACATAAGTAATAATCTTGGCATCTGGAACTTTCTCTTTTAAAGATTTAGCAACATTACGCAAAGTTTCAGTGAAAAATTCACAAATCTCACAAGTACCACCTCTGTTATCCGTATTACCAACAGTAAACATCACCAATCCATAGTAGCCATCAATACCATTGGCAAAATCCCTATAATTATTCTTCTTAACCATAACAACACCATCTTTATCCATGTGACGTTGGGCAAACCCAATATCTAAGTACCCATAAACAGCATTACTGAAATAAAGGAAACTCAAAACGAATAACTGAAGCAGTCTCATGGCTAAGCTTATAACGTCGTTAGCCTACTTCTAAACCACTCTCTACAATCATAAAACTTAAATGAATTAAACAATATGGGACCCTTTTATATTTCATCTTCTTATGTATCTGGTAATTTTTCACTTTTGACACGTCTTGCGAATTTCATAATGATACGGGACATAGACACACTTAAGGCCCAGATTCTATAAGAGATGAGGTTGGACCCTGAAGTTGTACATATGTCTATATCTATATCTATATCTATATTTATATAAGTAGTATTGATTGTAATTGGGTTGGGTTCATTATGGGCTTGATAGTTAATGGATTGATTAGTTCATTTCTGTCCATATTGGTTATATCTGATTTAGTAGTTCCGGTCAGGTGGTTGCAGTGATGATTTTATTCAGATGCCTAGTTGTGGTATCAGGTGTACCTGAAGGATGGGATCAAATGGGTATACATGAGAGGGTTTCTTGTTATTAATCTTGGTCATTAGTAGAAATTCGGAGATCATCGAGGTTGATACTGTCGAGATCTTTGATTGCTAGCGCATATAGATCGTTATATGTTCTCAACCATTGGACCCAGGCTAGGCCGTGGAGGAAAGAGTCTGCTAGATCATCATCTTTCTTAGCTCCAGCTTGCTCTGGCGACAGTTGGAGAACGTCAAACAGTTTGTAGTCGTTTGTATCCGTGGTAATACGGTCCAAGAGACGATTGCGCAGCTTGGGTTCTAGATCAATAAGACGTTCAGGAACATCTTTGTTGAAAACTGCAGCATCGATGATTCGTTTGACAATGTTGATTCTTAGTAACTTGGAGTTTTTCCCTGACAATTTTGTTTGTTCCAGTTTCAGGTTATCTTGGAATTCAGCCTTGATCCCTTGCATTGAAGGCAGCTCCATCCAATACGAAGTCATCCTTCCCGGATCCGAGGATTCCACATTGTACTCCATCCTTGGTAATGTAGCTGAATACTGTCTTCTGTTGAAAAGTGTAGCAAAGAGTACATGTTCTAGAATGTTCGACTTGAGTACAGGTTCCAGCACACTTTTTGAAGACATAGTTCTTGCACGTTGTCTTTCGATTGCGTACAGATTCGGTATTCCAAACTCTTGATCCAAAGTTTGCACCAGCTGGCCACATACCGTGGTTATCTCATGTGGGTGTAGGCTCAACACAGCCGGTTCTTTATCGCTCAAGAACTTTTGCTCTAGTTGAAACTTGTCCCAGCCAGTCAAACTTGGTAATCGACTATCTGTAGGCCAGCAAAATTTTGCCAATGAAAAATTAGATACACCTGCATCAATTCCCATGATAGATAGTGAGCCTTCATCCAATCTCCTTGATCGTAATATGTCTAAAGTACGAGCTTGATTGATCAATCTGATACGCATCTCATTTTTTGTGGAACCTGTGCTAGCACCAATCCCCAAACCCAATTGCCGTAGGGTTCTGGAATTGCTTCTCTTGCATAGCGCATCCAATGCATCCAGTATACCTTTATGACTGCCCATCTGGTCAGTAGTGTCCCATACCTTTCCACTTATAAGTCATTCAGGTCTATCACTTGCTAGTCGATGAGCTTAAATCATGCTGCTCGATGCTTAAAAAGGATATAATGGTAGTAATGATACGGCGCTAGCAACGAAGAGGTAAGTGGTGAGAGATATAAACATGCAAAAATTTGACATACAAGAAAAGTGTCATATTTTATGATTCACAAGTCGAACCACACATCTTATAAGAACCCATTCACCTGGAAATGAATGAGCTTCACTGAATTTGTTTCTAAGGCTGGAAACCAGACCTTCGTAGGTCATCCGTCTATGTGAGATCTAACATACAAGATGTAAGAAAAGTGTAACATGAAGTCTGGAAATATATAAATATATATATACAAATGCATATAAACCATAGAAAAATATGCCATTTGTATACACT